CTGAATTCAACATTCAATAAGGGGCACTCAAAATCAGGTAACATGTCGCTGTTTCTTCTGAAAAAATAGAGGGTATTGTAACATATTTTAGATGTATTATTAACGGATGTGTGTGTCCGGAGCCAAGTAACACACTAAAAGCATAAATTATGATAACTGTTGCCTAACACTGTCATTTTCAACAAACCCTTATAGTGGATTGTGAGTGAATAAATAATTCAAGGGAAGGCGGGGATATTTATATATGCAAATTATAAAAAAAAACATATATGAAATTGTCCAAGCAATAATAATTATCAGCAAGTACAATAAACAAACAGTGTCATTTGATATGTAAACATACATCTCTGTTTCAAGTGGCATATTGCTTCCTGCCCTCATCTGCAGATCTTCACACGTAACTGGATTTTCTGGAATGCAATTTGCTTCATTTAAGTTAACAATTTTCAGATCTACAGTCATGCTAAAATATTATGATATGTCATTCACTAATTCATCAAATATTTTGGAAATTCTCACTGATAGATCTATGTACTTTTACTGAAATAGGCTACTGTAACATTACATCATTCGTTTTCAACAACAACATCATCAACAAAGGCAGGTCCAGAATTTAGAAAATTGGTGAGTTTTTGGCAGTGTTAATTAGGAGATAAACAAACTGGGGTTTTTTCAATGTAGAGCTAGGTTACCTGTAGAGTTAACCGCGCTTAACTGAAAAGGAACCGAACGCGCAGAGGGCATCACAACCTGGGCTGAATAAAGACAAAGTCTCCATTTAACACACAATGGAATGACTCCTTGGGTGATCTCCCATTAGTTAGACAGCCAGTTGTCAGACACTGAAGTAGGGGATTAATTAGGGCAGTACCCACGACAATGGTACAGTCCTACTCAGTGAGGCATGTCTCAGGGTTCATCGTTTGATCTATCTCTACTTATTTTCTACTTATTTATTGTTATAGTTATTTACTAGATTGCTACTCCAGTTGCATGTTGTACTCTGATTATAAGTTATTATGTTAATCCAATATGTAGTGTTTGATCTTTAAAACTTGTGGAAAATGATGAACTTCTCAACTAGAATACTACTCAAGTTACACTTGCACTTAGCTGCTTGTTATAATAACATTCTTAATATAAAACAATTAATCTTTTACTATCGTGTGCGAAATACGCTGCAGTCGGAAAGCGCACGTAAAATCTCCAATATAAGTAAGTAAGTACTATCGATTTGTCAGAGTCTACTCAGTTTAACCTAGTGTACCCCACAGCCATTAATATATTTGAAGCTAAGTTTAAAATAGAAAACTTCACACAGAGATTCGGTTACATTTCTGCTGTAGAGCACTCATGAAGAGACCGTTGCAGGCATATTAGAGTACAGCCCTTGTGCAGGTATATTACATTTAAAGCAGTCATTCAGAATACAGCCGTTGCGCAGGTATATTTCATTTAAAGCATTCCTGTACAGTAAAGCCCTTGTGCAGGTCTATTACATTTAAATAAGTCATTTACAGTAAAGCCGTTGTGCAGGTATATTGCATTTAAATCAGTCATTTTGAGTACAGCCCTTGTGCAGGTATATTGCATTTAAATCAGTCATTTAGAGTAAAGCCCTTGTGCAGGTGTCTTACATTTAAAGCAGTCATTTAGAGTAAATCCGTTGGGCAAGTACATTATATTTAAAGCAGTCATTTGGAGTAAAGCCGTTGTGCAGGTCTATTACATTTAAAGCATTCCTGTAGAGTACAGCCCTTGTGCAGGTATATTACATTTAAAGCAGTCATTTAGAGTACAGCCCTTGTGCAAGTCTAGTACATTTAAAGCAGTCATTTGGAGTAAAGCCGTTGTGCAGGTATATTACATTTAAAGACGTCATTAAGAGCGCACCCCGTTTCAGGTCTATTACATTTAAAGCATTCCTGTAGAGTACAGCCCTTGTGCAGGTAGATTACAATTAAAGAAGTCATTTAGAGTGCACCCCGTTTCAGGTATATTACATTTAAAGCAGTCATTTAGAGTTAAGCCGTTGTGCAGGTCTATTGCATCTAAAGCAGTCATTTAGAATACAGCCGTTGTGCAGGTATATAACGTTTAAAGCATTCCTGTAGAGTACAGCCTTGTAGGTATAGTACATTTAAAGCAGTCATTTAGAATACAGCCCTTGAGCAAGTCTGTTACATTTAAAGCAGTCATTTAGAGTAGAGCCGTTTTGAAGGTATATTACATTTAAAGCATTCCTGTAGAGTACAGCCCTTGTGCAGGTATATTACATTTAAAGAAGTCATTTAGAGTGCACCCAATTTCAGGTATATTACATTTAAAGCAGTCATTTAGAGTTAGGCCGTTCCTATTACATCTAAAGCAGTCATTGAGAATACAGCCGTTGTGCGGGTATATTACATTTAAAGCATTCCTGTAGAGTACAGACCTTGTGCAGGTATATTACATTTAAAGCAGTCATTTAGAATAAAGCCGTTGTGCAGGTATATTACATTTAAAGCAGTCATTTGGAGTACAGCCCTTGTGCAAATCTTGTACATTTAAAGCAGTCATTTGGAGTACAGCCGTTGTGCAGGTATATTACATTTAAAACAGTCATTTAGAGTACAGCCCTTGTGCAAGTCTCGTACATTTAAAGCAGTCATTTGGATCAAAGCCGTTGTGCAAGTATATTACATCTAAAGCAGTCATTTAGAGTACAGCCCTTGTGCAGGTATATTACATTTAAAGCAGTCATTTGGAGTAAAACCGTTGTGCAGGTATATTACATTTAAAGCAGTCATTTAGAGTACAGCCCTTGTGCAAGTCTAGGACATTTAAAGCAGTCATTTGGAGCAAAGCCGTTGTGCAAGTATATTACATCTAAAGCAGTCATTTAGAATACAGCCGTTGTGCAAGTATATTACATTTGAAGCAGTCCTTTGAAGTAAACCGTTGTGCAGGTATATTACATCTAAAGCAGTCATTTAGAATACAGCCGTTGTGCAAGTATATTACATTTAAAGCAGTCATTTGGAGTAAAGCCGCTGTGCAGGTATATTACATTTAAAGCATTCCTGTTGATTACAGCCCTTGTGAAGGTCTATTACATTTAAAGCAGTCATTTAGAGTAAATCCGTTGGGCAGGTACATAACATTTAAAGCACTTCTGTAGAGTACAGCTTTTGTACAGGTATATTACAGTCATTTAGAGTAAAGCCGTTGCGCAGGCCTATTACATTTAAAGCAGTCATTTAGAGTACAGCCCTTGTGCAGGTATATTACATTTAAAGCAGTCATTTAGAGTTCAGCCGTTGAACAGGCCTATTACATTTAAAGCAGTCATTTAGAGTACAGCTCTTGTGCAAGTCTAGTACATTTAAAGCAGTCATTTAGAGTAAAGCCGTTGTGCAGGCCTATTACATTTAAAGCAGTCATTTAGAGTACAGCCCTTGTGCAGGTATATTACATTTAAAGCAGTCATTTAGAGTTCAGCCGTTGTGCAGGTATATTACATTTAAAGCATTCCTGTTGATTAGATCTCTTGTGCAGGTATATTACATTTAAAGCAGTAATTAAGAGTGCAGCCGTTGTGCAGGTCTATTACATTTAAGGCATCCCTGTAAAGTACAACCGGTGTGCAGGTGTTTACATTGAAAGCAGCCCTGTACAGTGGTGGCGTTGTGGAGCTATATTACATTTAAAGCAACAATGTTAATAAAGAGGCAGCTATATCTCTCCAACACAGTGTAAACAAAAAATAAAAAATGTCATACATTGACGTGATACCAATTATTAACATAAATTACAAGTTTATCCCACTAGTCCCATTTGTCAGTATATAACCACGAGGGATAAATGGATTCTTAGATATAATAAACACATGCCTCTCTACATAAAAAGGTATCTACGCAGCAATGTTCTTCACGTATCGTTTCAAATAATATATTAAATTCAACCCTAAGTCATTATACAGGGCTCTCGCATGCTCAGATAATCAGATATACTTTAAGCTTATATGATCCTAATATACAATGTCTAGCTATTCTCCAATGTCGATCGTAGTGATTAAACGTCAGCATAAGTTGCGATCATATCAGTCTGACGATACCATATAGCACGCTCCTTGTTTTATAGTTTCACTTGTCCAGGGAGGTTTTCGAAAGGTAAGCGAACATTTTAACGTTGTTGTTCTAAAACCTATTTCAGGAGAGTGTGTTCGTGATTTCGTTTGCTATGTGGTATACGTACATACATCCTGACAAAGAGCTGACACATATAGCTACCTCTGTTTTCCATCAGTGAATAAATAATAAATGCAAATAAACGATACATAACGATTTCAGATTTTTATTTAACAGTTCACGTGTAGTTACGTCTATGATCTGTATAGAGGATACAGAATACAAAATATATGATAAGAACTACAGTTAGCATTACCAGATAGTCTTGGGATTTATTATGATTAATTCCCGTGCTCGTGGGTTACGCCAAAGTGGTAAATGTCTAAGACCCGTATCACTTCAGGCTTTCCTCACACATTAAGCTGACACGCCGTGCTACAACTGCTCAAAGCTGCGTCAAACCAAAGGCAACCCGCAAGGGTATCTACTATTACAATGTCGCGTGATATTGCCACGCAGAAATAGAGCAAGGAATACGTATCAAATATATAAAATCTGCGTGAAGAGAATGTCACGATCCTGCCATTAAATAAAAAGGTTTGGCGTATGGTATCGTCTCTGTGCCCATCACCACTTTAGTTGCCATTACCATAGATTCATGCTAGTCTTGTTGAAGAAGGTCAAATTTGAAACGTACACAATTAACGCAATTTAGTGTTTTAGTTTTAACCATCTATTTTCATAGAATTTCACCTGTAGCAAGCTTCAATATCCGAAACAAGTAGTTGTTCTCGCTCCATGATAGACTTTGAGCTAGTTAACAACAGTACAATGCAGGGTAGGTAGTACTGCCATATGTTTAACGGAAGTTATTCCCATCGGCAGTGATTCCACAGTACCAGCAGCATGATGACGAAGGTGGGCAGTCGATGCTGCAGTCCGGTCTCCCTCGCTGTGGTCGTAATGCTCGTGCTAGCAAGTTATATAACTTTCTCTCGCAGAATGGGTAAGTGTCACGACTGGGTAGATTTGTAGAATTCGGGTGAAGCAGCATGATTGGTTTAGACATGTGGATAAACAGAACTTAATGGCCAGAGGTATGGATTATTCAGTGTAGGAATACTTCTCGATAAACCTAATGTGTTTGACAGTCGCTACCTATGAACAACGTGGTATTCAATTTTACTATTCCCAAAGTGAACTTTGCTATTATTGTTATTAAAAAGAATTCAGAAATGTTACTTTAATTAGCGTATCATCTTTAAAGTTGGAAAGGGAAAAGAATACAAACGACAAAGACGAAGTTAACGTCTTATGGCTAGACGGGGGCAATAGACGACCGTTTAAACACATGGCACTTGATAATTTTCTACCACAAATCTGTTCCGCTCCTTCTCAATTGATGATGCAAACTATGTATATACAAGTGCATGATCAGAAGTTTAGAACAAGTATGCCTATGGTTTATGATATAAATTTCAGCAGTATCACTGGGGGTATATATGTGGTTTTATGCGTCCCGCGTTAGCTTTACTTACTTTTAAGAAAGCAAGATCACTCCAAACGGCTTGCATTATGAAATAAATAGAAAGGTTTAACGCTGTCTTCAAATAGGCTGTTTATCTCATCTCGAGGGGTGATAAAAATGTATAGTGCATCGGTGCTGACAGAACTTAAATGATGACAGCAGTCAATGTTTGTTATTGAAGGTTAGATAATGGTCGACCTGGTATATGATGATAAACACATGACAAAACGCACACCAGGACGAGTGGCCAATAATCCCGGTGCGGAGACCCGTTCTGTCACTTACAAACATGCAGAAAGTCTGACGGCGATTCTTCATTGTCGACGTAGTTGTTGCTGATGCGGTGACCGCACTCCACGCCACGACTAGACGTACAATCAGTCGGCCTATATCGATGATCTGAGTCGGTCTGTTCTTGTCTTACCACGTGTGTGAAGATCTGTAGGCAGTGGTGTAAGATCATTGACCCGCATCTCCCAAAACTTCAACACGCCAAAACTCGTACACGTCAGGACTCAAGCACTTAGCTAAAACAGTATGCTTACCTTTTGTTGAAATGGAAGAGCCCAGGCAGGAGATGAAGAAAGATATGGACAACTAAGCCTGGGTAGAAATCACAATGCTTCAATGAATAACGTGACAAGACAAGACAAGGAAAAGTCTATTTCATAGGCCACAGGCCATACACGATGTTAACACACAAAGCACAGTAGTGCGCGCGCACATTTAATAGCTATGATATAATTTTAAGTTTCTTTTATAACAACTTCTCCATTAAACCGTTAAGTATCCAACAGTTATGAGTTTGTTTGATATCAGTGTCTATACAAATCCGCGTTAAGCTATTAATTGTTTATTATATAGTTACAAACTAGAAGGTTCCATAAGGGGGAAAGTGAGACAGATGAACACACATTTGATAAAGACTCCTGGTACCTAAACTGCAGCAGCTCCAGAATCGGATGCCCAAATCCAGGGAGGAATATTCATCATTCAAATCCCCAGTAACTGTCTTGGTAATCCCGACTTTTTTTTGCCAAAATCTAACCTCAGCAATGGTTGCTGCTGCTGAAAGGTCAATTTAAAAATGCCTACAAAACCGGCAAAACACAATGTCATGGTGGGACAGCGAAATAACAAAAGCAAGGAGATGAGGGAGAAAGAACGCCTTAAAAGGGTAAAAAGGGATAAATCAGCCTTCGCCCAAGTCCGAGCAGCCAGGACAGAAGTACGACGACTAATAGACGATTCTAAGAAAGAGTTATGGCAAACATTCTGCAAATCTCTGGAAGAAAAACAAGGTCTAAAACAGTCTGGAGCAAAATACACGCAATCAGGGGTCAGCCGTACCTGCAAAAAAAGTTATCAGACGCCCACACAATCAAAGACAAATGGACCATTCTAGCTGAGCACTTCTCATCTCTGTCAGTAGCCACAGTCTTTGCAGCAAATCAATCCAACAGGAAAATAGGTTTATGCCTAACATATCAAAAAAGCCTGGAATGTCAAGACCATGCCCCAGCCGGTGTCAGTAAGAGCGCAGTTACATCCACTATCTATCATAGATCTCCTAAAGCTGCGAGATGAAATAGCAAAGGCCAAGCTAACTCTATTTCTGAAAGATAGTCAGCTACTTGAAAGTATATAATTGAGCACCCAAAGAAAATCTATCAATTTCTAAAAATATACAATGGAATCACATCAATACGAATATAGAAATTTTATCAATACAAAAACAGAAATCGTATTAATGCTAAAACTCCCGATAAGTGTACCCTATTCATAGACGAGGGCTAATGAGGAGACAGGTCAGTCGGAATTCGTTGAGGCAGAAGGCGACCCCTTAAGCACTTAAACGAAGAAGAAGAGACGTGGGTTATCACACCGTGCTGGAAAAAGAAAAATGGACTTTGTCTTATCACACAAGTGTAGGCAAAAACAAAGCAGTACGACATAGACTATACATTGTCCAGTATATAAGTTCTATTCTATAAAGGACCACAAGTTTGAATAAACATCCTTGAATAGGGGGAAATCGCGTGGATCTGCCCGAAATAAATATAAGCGTAAGATATGTACATGTTCTAGAAAAAAAGAGCCACACTCTTCTTACTTTGATGGCTACTGGTTTAATTGTGTATAACATTCAGCTCATTCCAAATTGATCCGGTGAGAAGCAGAGTTATGACTGCACGAAACACTGCTTGGCGTAAACGAAGGATAGTAAATCATGTGTAACAGTATGCTGATGGTAATCTGCCAGATGATTTACACTTCCCATTTTTAATTTGGATGTTGTGCATATTGCATGTGGTGTGTCCAGTTTTATCGACTTTTATTTATATCATAGGCATACTAGGTTAACAGAAGTGTGTTGACAGTCATTGTAGAGACTAGCACATTCCCAGAGACAGGAAGACATGTACAGTGTATAGTAATTAATTAAGTGATTATGAACCCGACATCCGGATGATGGTCGTCAAACACCGTTGTGTCGAAGTTGAAGGGACGTACTTATTTACTTCCGAGTTATGCGAGTTTCGACACAACCGAAAATGATGAATAAAGAAGGTATATACAGGGACCAAACTTTCACTTCGAGACAAGCGTATGTTTGACACATCAAAGTTCGACACACACAGCGGTATATGTAAATTGAAAGTGAGAATATGGGTTTGTACCCTTTCCGTAAAGCGATCTTAACGCTAGACGATCATATACTACTACTACTACTACAAAGACGACGACGCCTACTACTACTTCAACATCTGATGGTTATACTACTACTATTAATCCATTTGTATTGTACTTTTTCCACGCTGGTTATCACCTCAAAGCGCACCATTATTATTCCGGTCAATGGATCATTATACTACGAATTTCATTCTCAGCTCTTGGGGAATATGCAACCAAAACTGCATGAAGCGCTCGATGGTTAACAGTCACATTAACATCCTACCGGGTTTCCATTCACTGCTGATTGAACAGAACTATTTCGAGCTAAGTCACTTGCCTGAAGAGACGATACACGTAACATGTGTTTCTATGTGCAACTAATGACAGTCGTTGCCCTCAGATCGTTTTTGGAAAGGGACCCTGCTATACTGCTTGGATCCTGCTCATGGAGGCAAGAGTGTACCAGAAGGCTATAGGGCAATGTGGTTCATTTTGGACATTGGTTCAGTTATGTCAAAATGTGTCGGTTGTTGTTGGAGAAAAGCCAAAAATGACGCAGGTCATAGACGTTACCACTCAGGTGAAATTCGGAGCACTGATATTTTCCTGGCAATCAAAGATACAAAACAGGGATCACATGCAGATCCTGGCACTGCTAGAGAAACAAATAAGCACAGCGCATTGTGGCTCCCTAAATAGCCGGAACACCCATGCCCCCATAAAGGTAGCCATAATGCACCGTTTAACTCCCAAATGAGGCTAACTATACTGTGCTCTTTTTTACGTCATTGGCTTCGATAGCAAAAAGTCCTTGTTTTGCCAGAAACGTCCAGTCGATATGTTGAAGTATTTGTACTGAAAATGATGGTATGATCTATACAGGAATTGTGACGTATTTATGTCAAGTAATATTCTAGGTCTTCCCGCCTTTGGGTATCGTTCGATGGCTTATTTTAGGACTTCAGAAACAATATCCTGATGCACGAGTCTGGAGTTACTTATGAAACCACATCCATACCAAAATATAAAACGTCAACGCCAGAGAATACCACGTTGTGCTGACTGTCCCCTATGTGTTATACCTTGTGATGAATTTGAATAGTTGAAGTTAATCTTAAGATCTTAGTTAGTTTAGTATGCAGCCTTTTGGATTTTCATATTGGGACAATTAGGGAAACTTTATTTCCAGAACCGGCAGGAGACGCGACTCATGCACGAGTAGAAATTCGAGGCAATATTACGGATAAAGCCGACATCTACCGAGAAGCTATTCACCAGGTCCATCAAAGGGTGAAGGACAAAGGGGATGACTTGGTCGTGAGTATATTCTACTTTGCATAAAAGATGAATTCATAGAAGGGTTTGAAAGAAATACTTTTCTACCCTTGTCTTAAACGGATTTTCAAGTGAAGTGAATGCTGTTTAACATCGCAGCCAGCAATATTCCAGCTGCATCACTGCGACATGTAAATAATCGATTCTAGAGACCCGGGAAGTATAGGAGGCATCAACACCATCGGGACGCGATGACATGCAAACATCTGAGTCAAAGAGTCTGACCACCCGACTCACTTTAGTTGACTCTTGAGACAAGCAAATGCCTTTACATTGGGATCAATAGTACCCCGGAAGACCACAAGGACAACAGGAATTTAACCTTATTCGCCGAACAGACAGTGACGCGTTTCAAATCCCGTTGTACAATACTTGATTTGGAATAAAAATCCATTTACACTTCTAAGGTAGGTAAGTGTGGGCGCGGGTGCGTGCGTGCGTGCGTGCGTGCGTGGACGCATGTGTTTGTGGAGGATCATGGAAATACATTTCACATATAATCACTCAAGAACATGAGTTTATACGTCTTCAGTTAAAAAATCCTTATTGGTTTAATTTAGAGGTTTTCTTAATGAGCAGGAAAACATAAGGGATGCTTCTAACAGGAATGACAGCATTCTGGTATACTAGTATATAGTGAATTAACACTTCTTTTATTGTGATACAAAATAAGCCGGAGAAGCTGGGGAGTGGTACCCAGTACAGCGAGCAGCACCTGTCACCCATAATGTGCGTTGCTTCATAACGGTGTTATTATTTACAACCAAAAGGTTCAGAAGTATAAAGAAGTTGTACGTACATAGAACTGTGTCCCTTGTTCATCAAGTCAGATTCCAGATCAGAATGTGCAACGTCTGGAACATGAACATTCTGGTCGGTCCCTGTACAGCGAGCAGTACCCCAGATCACTGGGTCCTCCCATATCCCCTGATTGTCAGTACATTATGTTGTGCATTATTGTTACATGTGGGTACAGAAATTTACAATGCTTATGCCACTTTACAGGGGTTTGATGATGGAGAACTTAAGCGGAGGGCGACACACGTAAAAGACGTCTGTTCCATGGTGAACAGTCCAAATATATCATTGGATCATGTGTCATATTACAAACATCTGGACCTACTATACTGCCATGTACCAAAGGCTGCCACGAAGTTTTGGTTCCGAGCCTTGCACATACTGGAAACCGGTCAACACAAATCTCCATTTGAGATTGTACACGGCCCAAAGAGACTACTTACAGAACAGGACTATGGAACGAATGAAGACATGAGATCTATAATACAATCAGCTTTTAAGATAGTATTTGCACGTGACCCCTATCAGAGAATTTTTTCAGCATATGTTGATAAATTCCTCAGTCCTAATGCTATGTTTTGGTCATTTGGAAAAAAAATCATAAAGAGTGTTCGCATCACCCAACCTAACACGACCCTCGGTTGTGGGGAAGATGTGAAATTCAGCGAATTGATAAGATATTTGACAGGAGTAAACCCAAAGTCATATGATCGTCATTTCCGACCCGTCTCGTTACAATGTGACGTATGCAACATACAATATGACGTTATTGGAAAAGTGGAAACATTCGAGCACGACGCCAAGTTTATTTTCAACCAGACTCATGCATCTGAGAGAGGCATGATAATCAAGGATTTCAAAGAAGAGAATAATATCAAGTACATCGTTTTCAAGGTGCAGAAAGCTTTCGGTTTCAAAAAGAGAACTTTGAAGTGCATAAGTGACCACATGGTACATCGGCGTGTATGGCGAGCCCTTCAGATATCAGGGTTGATTAATAAGTATGATGACTACCCATTAAGTCCCGACGAGAGCAGTAAAGCAAATAAGACAGCGATAATGAACTTGATGTTACGTGCGTATGAGCGATCATCGCCTGAGGCCAAATTGAACAAACGGGAAGCTCTGCTCCAAGCTTACAGTCAGGTTCCTTTAGTGGGCCTTGAACAACTGCGGTTGAAATACCTGAATGATCTCATGTTGTTTGGTTATGAGGAGAGGCCATCCTACTTATTCGACAAGGCAGAAACACACAGCCGAGAAAGTCAGGACAGTTTCGACTACTTTGACATCTTGAAGTTGAAAGTGTAGACAAGTTTCATGGCTAACAAGGCACTTTGAAACAATCACACTTCTGCCAGTGTCGATTTCCAAATTGAAACATGTTAACCCAGATATCTGTACATAAAAGGATCTAGTGTGAAACCAACAAAAATAGTTTACAATTAACAATTGTATTACAAACTTAACTAGGTTTACAATTGAACACTTAATACTGCACAGAAATTACAATGGCTGTAGGCAACAGAGTGGTACTGCAATATTGAATGACAGTTGGATAATATAATATAATAGTATCAAATACTGTGGTGATGCCAAAAGTCTACTAAAACAACTGTGTTTTTGTACTTTGATTAGTTTTCTATGTTACGAAGTATATTCACTGAATATTTATGCTTTCACCTGGGTGATAAGGTTTATTCATGTCATTAGAAGGACTATCTTTGATATTTTTTCCCCATCTTTGATATTTTTGCATACCTGACAGGGACAACATGGGCTACCATAATAACAGGATATCTTACATTTTCTGCTCAGGAGGAATACCGTCATTCAAATTTTGTTCTATTTGTTCTGACGTTTTGGATGGCATAAATGCACATACATTCACAAGATGCAAAATTCCATGAGCTTTTAAACTTCAACATAATTCATTAGTTTTAGAAGTGTCAGAATTCTAATATGTTCATACCTTTCTTGATAAATCTCCAGTGGTGTCAGTTGGAAGTCGCACAATTTAGCCATGACTGAGCATAAAAATGCAATAGCCAAGGTATAATCCAAAAGTAATTTACCCTGAAGAGTGAGTGATATTCTGCTACAGCAGACGATAAGTTTGAGCCAATCATTTTACTCATAGAGGTCAAGTGACTAAAGAAAAATCTTGACTACTTCCGGTGCTGTAAAGGGTTACTATTCCTTATTAAAACCAACAAACTAATACATATGTGTGATTTCAGTTCGGATTTATTTAAGCGCAAATGTCTGTCCTGTGTGATAATAGCTTAATGATAGCTTAAGACAGAAAGAACAAAATGTCAAACACTACAACCTGTAAACAATCAGTTTCGACCCCTGACACACAAATTAGACCCTCAATGACATATCAGTCAAGACAAATTTAAACAAATGGTGTTAAACTGCAATAAAAGTAACATATCTGTCACTAGAATGTGATGCCATTAGTTAGGTGCCCCTCCCTCCCTTAAGACAGATGGAACTCGTACTTTTGTGAATGACTATCCTGTGAGAGAATATTTTGAGGTCACGTGACTTCAACAAACATGTTCTCACAGCCTCTACAGTGCATGGATTGGTTATATTTTGATATTATTTTGATAAATTGACACGTATGGAAATGAGTAATATATGAAAACATGATATGTTCATATAGCATTTGTAATAAAAAGATTTACATGAGGTTGGGGTAGAACCCTTGATTTTTCACTTCCCGTGACAGGGGTTTTCATCAGTTAGCGGTAATATAGGCTGAGCATGCACACTGAAAGAAGTGTCCATAACACACTATCACCGTCCGCGGTATACCGGGCCGGAAGTTTACACACACTTCCAGCATCTAAATATAGTAACTTCCTGACGACTGATCAGTGTTCAAACACAATGCAATTAGCGTCTACCGAATCGAAGAAACACAGCTACAATCACTGTTAAACAATAACATACACATACACAGTGTCGGTGTATTAGTTATGGTACAATATATTGATGACAAATCTGTATTTTATTGATCAATTTACCATTTAGATTATGTTTGTAATTTACTTATCAAGCCAGCTACAGTTCCATCCAGCAAAATTTGCTTTGTTTTCTTTAGGGATGCCCACCTCATGTTAGCTTACCAAGTTGCCCTTCTTATATGCTGTCACTGCCTGTCATAGTTCCAGTGAAGTATTACGGTGTAAACAAACTGCTTGAGTATATACAGCGCCATATTTTGTTCGGTGATTCCGTAATTCAGATCGGTAACCCACTCAAAACACTGGAATCAACCCATGCCGCTTCACTCACTATATTGCTAACACCAAAGAGTTCGCGTTTTATTTAGTCATGGTAGAATGGAGATAAACATACTGTGTTTTCAATGTAGAGCTAGGTTACCTGCGCGTTCGGTTCCAAATTCAATTTAGCGCGGTTAAATCTACAGGTAACCTATCTCTACATTGAAAACACAGGATGTTTATCTTCTAATCGAAAACACGATTTTTATATTATTTGATCCCCTATTTATCTGCATGACCCATTAATAATGAGTATATATGAGGTTTCAAATATGAATTCGGGTTTCATCAAGCTATCAAATAAAAGTAGAATTTGATTCAAACTACTTGTTCTTTTGTTTTCTATATTGAGATCTATTGTGTTATGATATTGACGTGTCATCAACTCTGTTATGATTGCCTGTGTTAGGATGCATGTGAGTCGATGGTCGTAGTGCAAAGTACATTCATGCGTGTTATCTTTGTGCATTGACGTGAGTATCAAATTCAAAACACCCTCACAAACGACAATATGGTTAACAGACTAAATAAAAGAATGATTAAGTTCCAAAATAATTACACCCGGAACAATTCCGGATTCCGGCGAAGAATAGGCCCTCAGTGACTTATGCTGGTCGTAAGAGGCGACCACGTGGATCAGATGGTCAGACTCGGCGACATGGTTGATTGCGTGGCATTGTTCTTTAACGGCATCGTTACTCATAATGTCAATCACTGGATTGTCTTATCCTGACTCGAATGTTTAAAGCCCGAAGTCTGGAGAATTGTTGGAATATTGCTGAGTGTGGCATCAAACAGCACAGCCAAGTCACACGCCATCCGATCTGATTCGAAGTTTATTTTTGGCTTGACACACAAATTGGGTACGATTGCATTATGGTCCAGAATTCGCATTAAGGCGTCAGTATTGTTGTTAAAGGTGTGACCACAACAACAGGTTTTGGGTATCGCTCAATGGTATTTTTATTGTTATGATAAGAGTGGGTTCTAGCAATGTATTCGAGAATAGCAACCAAACAACGCAGTGTTAACCGTCCAATATGTGGTACATCTTGTGATCAGTTTGAATAGTTGAAGGTGGCCCAGTCGTCTAAGGCGCCGCGATCCGCTTTGCAAAGTTGCGTCCCTTGGGCAGGCCAGAAACCTATGATTGTTGGTTCCAATCCCGGTTCACGGCGATTATGTTTCTAGGTTTGTCGGCACCATGCCCGTGCTCGTGGGTTTCACCGAATTGGTAAACGTCTGAGACCTGCATCACTTCGGGCCTACCTCACACATTAAATGACACGCCGGGATATAACGGGAATACTGTTAAAAGCAGCGTTAAACCCAACTCACTCACTCACTCTCTACGTAGTTCACTATCAAACCATGGTTTATCTTTTGGTCCTTATTGTAACAGCAAGGTTGGTATACATAAGCTTATATTGTATTTAGATGTGGACAGAAAAAACAACACATATTGTATCATTTGATTCGTAGCTTTTAAACAAGCGCATCAAATCACGCACATACTAGTAATCTCTTCTGAGACAAGAAAACCTCGAGACATATATTTTCATACTTGTACGGTTCTAATTCGTCAGTACGTTTGACGTACAGCAATGCCGAGAACTATACAATGATACCACCCCAAAACAATCTCTATACCTCCAAAGAAGGAGAATGATAAAGGTCTATTTTCAGATCGTTTGTGTTCAAAGAATAATCAAGGTGCGTCTCTGTAAAACATACTATGTCATATTCCGAGATTTGCTCAGAAATAAGAGGTAATTTATATCGTAGACTTCTCACATTATTGTTCCAGTTTACTGAAACAAATTTCTCAACACCTCCAGTAATAATGAAAGGAAAGATAAGGATTGATATAAAATTGGAGTGAGTGAAAGGCTGTCCCGAACAGAGACATATTTGAACAAGACAAAAAGTTGATGACCAGCACGAAATAACCAACTAAAGTAGGCAGTGGATGACGTATTGATAATGTGGAATTTCCCCTTACTTATGGGAGTTGAATTACATTTGTTGTAATGAAAATATCGATGCTCTGTACAAACTCAAATCAGTCATTTGCTAAAACAATAACTAGTATTATCCGGGCAAGGGAACCAAGGGGTATGCTATTGATTGGTTAATGCGAATTTAAGTTAATTTATCTTTTCCAAGTATGAATCATATACAAGATACAGTAACTTAATGTTTTATGATTAAAACCTGTAGAAGTAGAACACCATTCGACTACTAAATAATTGAGTAAATGAAGGGTATTTACATGCAATGAACTACTTGTGTGTGCATACAGTACGTGAGTGAGTGTGATATACTAGTATAGAGTACCAGACAAACTAAAGGATAATAAAGTACTGTGATAAACATATACATACAGTAAGCATTAGGACTAAACATGTCCATAAACTAAGTAAGGATAAGCATTTATGGATGAACAACTTCGGAGCGACGTTTGGTACTCGTACTTACTTAAATTAGGAATTTAACGTGCGCTTTCCGACATATGCGTATTTCGGGCACGGGCCCGCCAGGCCATTAGGTTTTGGGTCGAAAAGGGTATGTCCGAAAAGGTGAGGCAACCTAGGTGGGGCTCTTTAGGGTGGCTTAATTAATTTGGAGAACAATTTTGGAATTTTGAAATATACCATACATGTAGGTGTGGGGGGAGACTAAAAGAAGTTTGTGTGTTTTTATAGGTTTAGAATTTTAGGGTTTATTGGCGGTGTACTCCCGGTTTCCCAACATTAGAAAACTTAGAACAACACAGGGATTAATGGATTAACACCTGTGGGTATGTTCCACTATCTTTTTAGGGGTGACCGAAGCTCTATGGACACACTATGAATTCAATAAAAAGGGGTATGAACAAACATGCAGTCATGGATTTATTTATTTATATCGTCTTTGATTTCACATGATTTCCATATCACAGCACATGAACATGATTGAATTTCACAATTAATATTCTAATATCACAACATACGTTGACTGCTTCTTATCACATAACAAGGCAAATACTAAGGGAAACATCTTCCCTGACACAAAAGCATGTATTGTATAGATCTGGGTGAATAGTCCTGGACACATGTTAAATGTGCCGTTACAGAAGATGGTGTCGGCTCCAGCAAGATGCTGAAGGTTGTAAGAAATTAACA